TTGAGGAAGGGATAGAGTGTGTCACGCATGTTTTTGATGTATTCGCTTTGCACGTACTTAAGATAAGAAGCAGGAAGTGATTGTTAGCCATATCCTGACCTGCTGTAATCTGCTCTGTGTCTGTTGTTGACAGCTGGCAAAAGATCATGGGATCAGGTTCTTTGAGACCAGTGCAAAGTCCAGCATCAACGTGGAGGAGGTGAGCCAGAATGTAACCATTGATTTAAAAAACAGTCTCTCCATACGTCATTAAAGTTTATCTTACGAATGTGTTTATATGACACAAATGCTGCAGACTTAACTTTTGTTTATGTGTCTTTTAGTCTTTTCTGTCTTTGGCAAGCGACATACTACAGAAATCCAGCAAGAAACCAGTAAGTTATGCCAAATCATACCACACTGAAGCTTTAGTTCTTCCCTGAATATATACAGACTTTATTTAATACAAAATATATCTGTAATTTCCTCTTTCTGTGTTTCTGTGTTTGATAGGGCCCCACAGGTCGAGAGGTGAAAATCACAAGCAGCACAGAGAAAAAAACCTCCAAATGTGTTCTTCTCTAGATATGACCCAGGCCAACACACACAAGGAAGCGACATACAAATTTAAGAGCCTATCAGTGTTAGTGGGGAGAAATTCAGTACAGCAGGGTTTCTGTCTCCATCTGGTGGGCTCACACATGAAATACACACAGGTTTTTACACCGAAACTACTTTTATACTTTTGTTACCCAAAAGCTGACTTTACAAGAAAAAAATGAGCTGAAATTTTGTAGAAGTGATTGTGCCTATATTTCCCATTGAACACATCTTCTGCCACATCTCCTGTGATAGTGTTATTGTCATTCAAGAAAATGCTGCAAAGTGGCAGTCAGGGTGTGACTATAGAGAGATTACTGACACAGCATTTCACCAAGCACTTCCCACCATGTTTAGTTAAGCTGTACATTTCTGTTTCTGCCTTGTATTTCCAACCCATTTCAGCAGAATGTTGGTATTGCACGTTTCTTCAGACCATGGATATGTCACATTTGTACGTTGTTATATTGCAGATTCATTCCAGCAAGGCTGCGGGTCATGTTTTGGCACAAAAACCATGTGGTTATGGTTAGGAAATGATCATGTTTTGGCTTAAAATACGCAGTTTTGGTGGCTGCAAAGCTGCTGGAATCACAGTGATGTTGAAATGAAACTGTTTCTGGTGGCATAATCTTAGCCAGAAAGGCAGCCATATCTCAGTAAAAAAATAACCGCTTTTGGGGGCAATATTCCAACTGGAAACGCAGCGATTGATTAGGAAAAAACATCTACTTTTTCATAGCACTTTTCCAACAGGTACCGCAGGGATCTCTCCATAAAAAACAACCACTTCTTATGGCACTGTCCCGACTTGAAATGCGGGTGATATCTCGATAAAATCCAAACGTTTTTCTTGTACTATCCCGGCTTGAAACATAGCGATGTCTCAGTAAAAAAATAACCACTTTTGAAGGCAATATTCCGACTGGAAACGCAGCGATTTCTTAGGAAAAAACATCTGCTTTCCATCTTCCAACAGGTGCCACAACGATCTCTCCATAAAAAACAACCACTTCTTATGGCACTGTTCCAACTTGAAATGCAGCGATATCTTGATAAAATCCAAGCACTTTCCTTGGTACTATCCCGGCTTGAAACATAGCGATGTCTCCGTGAAATACAAGCACTTTTTGTGGCACTATACCTGGTGGAGGAATGAGGCTGTCTTGCTAAAAATGACCCATGATTGGTGGCTAAAAAGCCACTGGAATACGCAGCAATGACTCGCTAAAAAACAACAGTTTTTATTGTTTGTTGGTTTCAAACAGTGGTCTTCAGTGGTCTGCAGCTTGGCAGGCATCTTGCCTAGGTGCCATGCCATCCACCATCACCCCCACCTTTCGATGACAAAGTCAGCTCATATACAACATAACATAGGAAATGTACAAATCTAAGGTATCCATGGTAATGCAGACATGTACCATGCCAACATTTTCATCTGGCGACTGGGCTGTGTTTTTCTCTGGCTTATCACCACATTATCATTCCTAAAACAGCACTGCTTAATGTATATAAAGGACTTTAACGGTGTGTTTTTGGGGTAGCTATGTAAACAAATGACAGCTTAATGCAACCATTTCATTCATTTCTTATATGTGAGCACATAGTGGCCTTTAAGAGCTCAGTGGCAGAGGAAAGGTTTTAAAGAGGAAGGAGGAAAGTGTTTTGATTAGCACACAGTAGGCTTCTGGTCGGGCGTCTCATAGATTCTGTTAGATGGTGTAAATGCTGGACAGAATTGATAAATCGATTAATAAGTCATAAAACTTATTAGGTTACCAATGCACTTTCACTTTTGTCATGTTGTTTTCTATGATATTACATCAACAGCACAGGCAAGTTGACAGCCCGTATCCCTATCCCCAATCCCCTATCCCCGTTCCTTATCCCCACAAAGACTGAACATTAGGCTTTTAAATGTTATATTTCATTATGATTTCAATGTGTTTACTCTTCAAGAGCTAATGAAATGGTTCAGTATTTTAATGCATTCAACAGAATCTACAGGAGCAGATGCCATTTCATATTAAAAGAGCCTGAAACTATAGGAGAGGAAATTTTTTGGGTTACATAATGCGAGAAGCTGAAACCGTGCTCTTTACATTTATGAATTAAACATGTTGATGTTTGGAGTTGAATCTGAGACAAACACTGGTGGTAAACAAGCTTGGTTTTAACAGATGGCTCGAAGAGTGTGGATGATAGGAACAGAGATAAGTGCAATATGAGAAGATGAGTGGAGAGATGAAAGAATGATGGATAAAGCAAGTGAATGGACAGGATGTGGGTGAAGCAGCTGCGCTCACATGTCCCTCATTTTGAATTGATTTAGTGGGTCTTGCCTTTTATGTGAAGTGCCTGGTTAATCTCTTACTAAACACTACCACACATTAGCTACATCTGAAAAGACAGTCTCCCTGCTCAGGCAACTTCAGATCATTCACAATGACTCTGATTATGGGTGCTCATCTGATCTGGACAGACATACTGTATTTTCTGTATCTACCTTCTATGCATTACTTTCACATTCAGTGTCTTTTAGACCTGCCACAAGACTTTGTATGTAGTTTACAGACCTGCCGCTTGCTAATAAAAATGCTAAAGAGTAAACGTGATGAGTGTGTATTTTGAAATTGTATGTTGGCACAGTTACATAATCAGAATATGCTTGGGTTGTCTGCACAATAGCTTGCTCATGAATTTTGTAACTGTTTGAAGTCAATTCACGTAAATGTTATTTATATAGGAGGAAATGGAAACCAGAACATTATTAGATAGCTAAATTGCAAACATATGAAGAATATCTTGTATTTCGAGAACAGCAGGTGTAATAACTCAGCCAAAATTTGTATGAGGGGCCCATATAGATCGTAAATGGACGAAAAAGATGGGCCCCTCATACTCAGGTAACCCTAGCATAACCTAAGTGGGGCCCACTTGATTAAACCAAACCATGTAGGCGACTGGCATTGAACCCATGGACAATCCTAGTTAAGGCCCATTTCTTTAGCCCCTTTAGTACCCACATGGGCCCCACATACAAATGTCAGCTGGGAAGCTATGGCTTCAGACTGCAACTTTCTGGTCCTTGCTATGATCTGTTTTACAAATGTACTCATTATTTTATTTACAGTTTTAAAGGTCCAGTGTGTACGATTTGGGGGGTCTAGTGGCATCTTGTGGTGAGGACTGCAGACTGCAGCCATTTACATTTATTACAGCCAAGAGTTGTGATGTATAACAACAGACTTGGTGGCAGAAACTTTAAACCTGCTTACAAACATTTTGGAGATAGGAAATTGGCGATGCAGATGGTGAGGTGGAAGCCTGATAGCAGAAACTGTTGAATGCTTTTTGGTGCACATTATTTTTGGCTTTTGTCCATACGTACATTTTTAGTATGGATTGTATGCATTGTTTTATAAATTAGACCCCAGGTGATTTAAACCAGTAAAAACAGAATAAAACTGTTTCATGTGGAGGAAAAAAAAAAAAAAAATATACATATATATATATATATATATATATTAATTTAATTAGATTTATTAATTTAAAAAAATAATACATTTTAATTAATTTAATTTATTAAATTAAATAAATCTGTTTTTCAGATGCTCCCCGTAGCTGAGGGACTGCTAACTAAAAAAAAAAAAAACTAAAAAAATGCAAATGGCCCTATTTAGAGCCAGTGTTTGGTTTGTCCCTTCTGGGCTACCGCAGAATATGGCAGACTCCATGGATGTGGACCCACTCCCCATGTAGATATTAATGGCTCATTCCAAGGCAATGGAAACAGGATGGGTCTTATTTTCAGATGATTATACACTGAAGAAAACATCTTATTATATTATGTTTCCTTTCTGCCAATATATACCCTAAATCCTACACACTGGACCTTTAAATATATTTTTTAGAATTTAAACAAATAAAAAATTTAGAAAATAATATTAAACTAGTTATAATAATAGTTTTAGTTTTACATGAGGAGGCAGAGCAGATAAGACAGAAAATAGTGGTAGTGGTGTAAGCCGGGGATAAGTGAGATGGGATTTCAATTCAAATTCAAATAGGCAGTTCACATAAGAGCAGAAGGCGACTTTGTGTTTCAAGGACACTGACAGGAAATATGTCTGTTGACAGACACGCTGTTAAAACCGGCCTAAATTAGACCAGGCACCTCTATGGGACACTCACTGACTCCTCTAGGACCCCCATTGCCTTCTTTTTAACCACAATCCTCCCAAAACAGCGGTCATTACCATGATAGTGTTTTTTTTTCACCCCATCGCTGCAGCAGGAGCCTGTCGCTAAGCAACCGCCCCTCCTTCCCAGCATCAGCACCACGACGGTGTGCGCGCGCTCTGCCGCATCTTCAAGTTGCCTGCACGTCCTGCGTGCCTTGTCATCACGCAGGGCAGGTTTCGGTTTGCAAACACGATACATTCCTTCTCCAGTGCCGGAGCTGTGCCGAGGAGCAGAGGAGGAGACGTGAGAGCAGCAGAGGGAGGGGCCACCTCAACCAAGAATCACTCATAACTCACTTGGATGGATTTAAGCATGTCATCCCGGACATAGGTAGACTACGGGCTATGTTATGTTCATGTGACGTGTGGTGGGAGGCAGTGAGGTAAACGTCCGGATACACACACACACACACACACTAACACACACACACACACACACACACACACACACGGGCTGAACGGGATGCCCGCGTGACTGCAGGGAGGAAAGAGGCGGCGGAGGAGGAGAAGGAGGAGGAGGAAGGGGGGGTCTAGGTGCGTGTGTGGACCACCGCAAAACCCCCGAGGTGGAGTTGTCAAAGATCAAACCCTGTACGGAGAAATTAATTCCAGCCCGGCTGCTATTTTTGGTGCAGTTTGAAAATCGATGGAGGATATTTATTTCCTGTCCACGTCGAGGTAATTAGTCTCGCTTCCCGAACGCACCGATGTGATCTTGGGGCTTTGATCTCTACACCGTCTTCTTTCTTTTGCCGTGACAGCATGAGGACCTAACATAAGGTCGCGGGAGGGGAGCGCACATGTTCGGATGTTGCTCCTCCTGATTGGACACACGGACTGACCGGCTCGTGTCATCTCTGCTGGGGGTGAAACAGCGAGCTGCTTTTCTTTGGGATGCTTTAAAATCTGCGGCCTGCTCTGGTCTCCAGTTACCGCAATGCCACTGGCGAGAGGAGGGAGAGGTGGAAGGCAGAGGATGGAGAGGAGGGAGCAGCATAAAGCAAATGAGTATAACAGTGATGTGTAGATTGCAGCATATAAATAGTGTGGTTGTGTTTTAATCAGAGAATGGTATAGGCTGTATAGGTGATAGTGGCCTGTGAAGTGCATGGGATGAATCAGACACTGTATTGACTGAAGCTATCTTAGTATCATGGCTGAAACGTCATATGAGGTGAGTACGGTGGCTGCGAGTGTGTAGTGGCTGCTCAGTTCTCAACTTTCTGCTGACAAAGTTCTTGGACTCACTCACCGGACTATAGTGCGCACCATGGGGCATTGCGCAGAGCCTATGGCACCTGCCAGTGGAGAGCTTGGTGCATAATTGTGACAGAGTGGAGCTCTGAAGCCAGCATTTATGTCTCTCCCTCTTCTCCACGCCCGCACGTCTACCCACACAGCTGAACTTTATTTTATGAGCCCAGTGTAAGCGCGAAAGCTCTCCCAGCCTCCTCCGCACACACCGACGAGCCTGACATGCCTTCGCCATCGGACTCCAGCAGCGTGGCTTCGGCTTCGGGGTCTCGGGGCTGGTCGGACAGCCGCAGGGGCATGTCGGGCCGGGGGCCTGGTGGGGCACGGCTACTCCTGTACCTGGGGCTTTGCCACCTGGGCCTTGGAGCCATGGTTCTGGCCTTCTCCTTCACCAGCATGGCCTTCACCTCCTCAGCCCGTGTGAGGCAGTCCTGTCCATTCTGGGCTGGCTTCTTTGTAAGTGTGAATCTGACTGAGAACATATAGTATTAAAAATATAATGGGAAAGATGTTCTGATGCATGTGGTGTGTGTTTGCAGGTGGTGGCATCAGGGATAGTTGGAATAATCTCATGGAGGAGACCTCTGACGCTGGTGGTATGTATGTTTCTACATGATTAAAGGAGCATTCCAGTATCTCGGCTGTAGGTGTAAAACCATGTGTCACTGAGGGTAAAGAGGACCACAGGAGCCTAAAAAAAACTCAGGTGTTGCTCCAGGATATGCACTATGAAGCATAAAATAAACAGGTGGCTCTCAGCAAGTCCTTGAGGGGTCCCTAGAAAAATGGGGAATAGTTTAAATGTTTAGTCTGTAGGATTTAGTGGCATCAAGCAGTGAGGTTGCAGAACTGAAACTTCTCCTGTGTGCCAAGCTTGGCTGATGCAGAAACAAAAATGGCACTATCGAGAGCCAGTGTTTGATTTGGCCATTCTGGGCTATTGTAGAAACTCTGTAGGAGAGGACCCTTTCCATGAATTGACAGCTCATTGTAAGGTAATAAAACACAACTTTCTTTTAATTTTCAGGAGATTCTAAACTATTAAAAACATAGTTATGAATATGATATTCTATTACCGCCAATAGATGCCCCTAAATGCTACACATGAGACTGTTAATTCATGATAGAAGTGAACCCTTTGTGATTAAGAGTCATTAAAATAACTGTTCTGATCACAGGTTTCACCTCCTCCACAGTTATCTCCTCAACTGAAGCTGACAACAATAAAATTCTAATCCTAATCATATCTAAATACCAAATTCTGTTCATATCCCTGAAGCAAAATATTATCAAATGGGGGTCAATGACCTAACGTATATTGATTTAGACATGAAAAAGGTAGAGAACCACTGATATAAACTGACGTGACAGGTTGACAAAACTATCCCACCACATGTTTCCTTAAGTGGCTGTTCTTGAGCAGATTTGATGTCTTGGAATTGAACATAGTCAAATATCCATCTTACCTGAGCACTTTAGGGACTTCTCATCCTGTTGTCTTAAAAGACGAGGTTCAAAGTTTATTCATGACTTTAGGAGCAGCCGTTGAAAAATGAAAGAGCCTTTAAGTGGGTCCTGCGCTTTAAAGGGCTCCTATGTTAAGGAGTAGCTGTAAAATGTTTTCATATTTTTACATGAAAAATACTGTTTTACTTTGAGCCTTTATTTTGCATATTCATGTATTTAATTCAGTAAAATTACACTCAAACTAAGACACCCACGGCTAATTTGAGGTTAGTCAATTTGGAAATGACATGGAGGGCAAAAAGTGTGCATCCAAAAACCAATCCAAGTTCTTCAGTGATGAGCAGACCCAAAGAAAACCTGCAGATTTTTTTTTTTTTTTTTTTTTTTACATTTTACAGCGATGATCCAGAATAAAAATCTTCAGCATTTGGCAGAATGTTTTGTTTTTAGTTTTGGTTGTAATGTGATAAACCATCTTCATTTAAAACTCTAGTGTGCAGGATTTAAGGGGCATCTATCGGCAGACATGGTATATAATATTCACAACTTCCTCCAGTGTATAATCACCTAAAAAATAAAATCATTGTGATTTCATTCACTTAGATTGCGCTGTTTGTATCTACATACAGAGCAGGTCCTCTTCCACGGAGACTTACATGTTGTTCTACAGTAGCCCAGAATGGACAAATCAAACACTGCTCTAGATAGGACCATTCACGTTTTCACGTCGGCCACCAGTTCCTCTACATGCTTGGCACACGGGAGACGTTTTAGTTCCGCAACCTCACTGCTAGATGCCACTAAACCAACCCTACACATTTAAGATAACTTTTGTTTTGTTCAATCTGCGGAAAATCTGCTGAGGCGTCATTTCTGTGCACAGATTTTGTGTGGGCCTGCTGATTAGCTGGCTGAAGTTCTGTTTATTAGTGAAGTCACCTGGCAGAGCCTTTGGTTGGAAGAATAAAACTGCACGCTCTCGGCCCTCTGTGGCACGAGTTTTGACACCTTGGGTCAAATCAAAACATGACTCTGTGTCCCCCCCGCAGGTGTCACTGTTCATGTTGCTGTCTGCGGTGTGTGTGATCCTCAGCCTGGCCGGCTCCATGCTCTCCTGTCAGAACGCGCAGATGGTCAAGTCTATGCTCACCTGCCAGGTACACAACATTATACAAGTGTTGTCTTGTGCCTCGTGCAGGAATGCCCTTCCAGCCAGAAGCATGGGTAACGTGTCAGGGATAACTGGAAATATGTTTTTAGTGTGTGGTCCAGCGCTTCACGCTAAAACTCTGTGTATGGGAATGTGTGTAGGTGGAGAATGGTGTGTGCGTGTGCTGCGCGCCCACTCACTCCTGCTCCATCACAGAAGAGGAGACCCTGGTGCTCTACCTGAATGCTGACTGTCACTCAGTCAGGCATCAGCTGAAGGTGGGTAGGATGTGTCTTTGTCACTGTATCATAGCTTCACAGTTTCTCAAGTATATCTTAGAATAATAGACAGGTGCCCACATGCTCACTGAAACACCTTTTCCTTGCTGTAATACTGCCTCAGTATTCATACACAATATTAAGATATAAAGCGATTGGGGAGACAGCACAGTCCCTGTTTTATGCAAAAATCAAGACAAGTCAAGTGGATATCTTCTGGAGTTATACTGTTTTTACAAAATACAGACTTCCCTCTTTTTATTACTAGCCTTCCACTGAAGTTCAGTGGGGAAATACAAAGTCAAACTATCCTATAAATGTGACATATTCTTACCAATAAAATGCCTCTATGTTGTCAGATGTTGATTTTCTGAATGCATATCTCTCTAAAGGACCTTTTGTTCAGTGCATGCGGTCTCAGCATTCTCTCCACCATCATCTGTACTCTGTCCACTGTGACGTGCAGCATCCACATATTCTCCCTGGACCTCGTGCACCTGGTGAGTAGACACAGCACATTTCACATTTACCAGACTGGCTTTTTTTTCCCCCATAAATGACAAGTGCTCAGCAATAAACCACACAGCTGCAGATTTGAGAACAGATTTTGTACAAATGCTGCAGTTAGTTAAATCCTTTGTATGATGGCGATGTGTTTCCCACTCTCCCCGCCCAGCTGGCCCCGCATCGCTCTCGTTCAGTCAACCCAGAATGCACCACTCCTCAGGACGCCTTCCTGACCAACATCATGGACTTTGAGGAGTTTGTCCCACCCATCCCTCCGCCCCCGTACTATCCTCCTGAGTACACCTGCAGCTCTGAAACAGACGCTCAGAGGTACCACACCTAATACGTATTATTACACATCACTTGTGCACAGTGAGTAATAATCATACACGCAATTACAATACAAAGAAAATGATTTATATTTGTGTTACCGCCCAGCATCACTTACAATGGCTCCATGGAGAGCCCTGTTCCTCTCTACCCCACCGACTGCCCTCCTCCGTATGAGGCTGTGATGGGACAAAGAGCTGCAAGCCAGGTGAGGATGTGTGTGTGTGTACCTGTGTGTGTTTTATGTGTGATGTCCTATGCTGATCCTTGTCTACTTTGACTGTCAAGGCAACAGTGTTTGATCCCCATGGCACTGAGCTGTCTGGAGAGAGAGGGACTTCAACTGCCTTCAGTGGAGAAGGTGAGAAGAGCTTTTAAATGTCAGCAATGTGCTGAAAGGAGGGGATTTGGAGGTGCTCTGGGGTCCTGGATCAGGATCAGGGAGTGTGTATTTTAAAGTGGGAATAGGCAAGTTTTACTGCTTTAACTTATCAGTATGAAGTATATAGAATAATGACTCAGTGTTTAGATTGGGTTGCAGCTGGGAGAAATTTTCCTCAAGGGCTTTCTACCCGATGGGATCTCTTTAAGGTTAGAGAAAAAGTCGTGGTTTGGGTTAAAATGGATAGATTTCTGTCAGGGAGAACAAAGACTTCTCCCATGTGCGATTGGTTCCCTATAATCCTCGTTTTCACGATGCAATTCTGTTTGCCACTGGGAACAACCTCCAGGGAAAATGAAGACTCCATTTATGGCTCAGAGGAAGTGCATCAACCATTGCAGAACCAAAACAGGAAGAAGATAGCACTTTTGTTTTCCACAACTATCAGTAGCTATCCCCAATTACCAAAGAGTATCAGTGCAAGTTTTTTTGCATGTGCAATCCCCGGTAGTTAAAACGGCAGACGGTGGAACAAGTGGGGTAACTGTGGTAAACAAAATTCAGTGTGTCCTGTGTTGCTGTTGGTTACTAGCCTCTTGGGAAAATAGAAAGCAATTCAGTTGTTTTTTGTGACAGCAGCATTTTTTTGTCTAACCTTTATTTAAAAAGACACATTGATATTATTAATAATAAAGACTTACCTTTCTTCATTAGTGTCCATGGACAGTGGATCTCTGCTGATGTCAGAGATTGTGGACATCCCTGATGATTCCTCCCCCTCTGAGGACTCTTGTCTGATGGAGGTCGGGCTGAGGACTCAGGGGGACAAAGGCAACAGGAACTCTGGCGAGGGGGGAGACGGAGGAGACAGTGGGGAGTACATCAGCTTTCGTGGTCCCCCGTCTCAGACGCCAGAGAGTCCTCTGGCAGGAGGACCGAGAGCCAGGCGCTTCATCAGAGGAGAGCGGTCCAACTCGTGCTCTTCGCCCAGCACAGCGACCACCACATACAGGTGAGGGCAAGCACAGTTTAATAATGTCAAAGCTGTACAGTCAGTGGTGTTATTTTGTGCTCTCCTGTCTTGTCCCGCAGGTCTCCAGTATTGCGTCGCCAGGCCATGCTAGCTAGTAGCTGTTCCCAGCTGGAAGCAATAGGGAAATCCACATCTCCGCAGCAGTCCTCTGTCCCAGAGTTTCGAGTTCGCCCCTCCACTCCCTCACACCAAGGAGCTGCCCCATTCTCCCCTGCTCCTCCCATTTCGTTGCCCCCAGCTGCCAGTGAGCAGAGTGGTGGTCCGGGTAATGGGCCACCCCTCCCGGGCCAACCATTGTACCTTCGACGAAGGGCTGGTAAAGGTGAGAAGGATGGAGAGGGTGTGAGGAGGGGTAGTGAAGGACTCCTGCGTCTTGTGAGGTCACACAGTGAGCCAGGCCTCGGCTCCTCGACTGATACAGGTAAGTCCCACACGAAAAAGGAGTACATCACCTACATTACTATTTCCGTGTCTATAACCTGTCCTTGTATCTCCTCTGTAGTTGACTTTGGCTCTGGAGGCAGCAAAGTATCTATGGACACAGGTAAGAGCTTATATCTGCACGGCTTTAGGATGTGATGTTTTGGTGGCTCAGTGATCTAAAGCGTAAAATATCTGGCTTTGTTGCATGTCATCACTCTCTCTTCCTCTCTGTCTCTTTTGACATTCAACTGCCAGATTATAGACAAAAAAGCCCAAAAGGAAATACCTCCAAATTGTTTAGATGAGACACAATTCAGCCCATTTGCACCTAATGGCCGCCATTTATCTCTTACAAACAAGTGCAGATTGAAACATCGGAGGAGACGTGCAAATCTGTCCCTGTGCGCGTGTGATTTATCAAAATCCACTGTACTTCCGCAACATCTAAATTAGCAGTGATTTGATTACAGATTGATAAATTAGATTCTGCTTTGCAAACAATAATGTGCCTCACTAGCTCCTCATTTACATGTCACACATCCTGATTTATGAATGTTGCGATTCTTGTCCTGTGAAAAAGCTCACGTAGCAAAGTAATGGGATATGTCATGGGACATAGCAAATGACCTGCAGTGGTTACTGGGCTTTACTGCAGGAAGTCCACAATATTGTGCTGCAGGGATGGAAGTTGGTGTCACATTGGTTCCCTCGTCAAAAAGCAAATTGGATTTTTATATTAGATTTTTTGCAGAAAATACAGAAAATATGATCTGTGGCAAACAAAAGTTTATGATACTTACATGTTTTGTTCAGCAAGGTTATCTATATGATCACCACTTTTCAATTTTTTAAGCATAAATGCAATCATCAGAGATATAAAGCTAACATTAGGCGATAATCAAACTACACTACAGTCGTATGACTTCAATGTTATCACCACAATGAGGCTGTTAAGCCATGTGTGGCGTGATGATGTTCTGCAGTCTCATTTAGCCATTTGTTAGCAACCACCTTTTATAAGATATGTAAAAGCTGAAAATGTGAAAGTCTCTTGAGCTTGTGCTAACCACAGACCTTATGTCAAGCATCTAACCAAAAACCCATTTAAAAAACCCTCTGACTCTGAGACGAGGGAGCCAAGAGTGCATAAATGCTAACTCATGTCCGGGTGTTAGGACTCATTCCTTCAGCACTTTCTATGAACCTGCATCTTTGAGAGTTCAAGTAGCTCATTGTACCTCTACCTTTTACAGAAGATTTATAATATTGACTTTTACATTTCAACACAATCATATGCTTGTATTGTTTCTCACAGAGCATGAGGACAGTCTGACATATTTTATTATAGACAGTAAATCCAATACTCTGTGCTAAACCACAGTTTCCAAAAAGAATCTCACAGCTGACAGAGATAGAATCAAATGCTGCCTGCTTACACCCAGAATGTTTGTGTATTCTGAGCTGTTTCTTGAGGACTTAAGTATGAGGTCTTGTGGTGCCAACCTGATGTCAGAAAGGTAGTGATCCTGCTGTTAAATGTCAGTGACCTTCTCATTTCCCCTTTTTAAAAATGCAGTCAGGGAGTTCATTTTGCATTGTAACCTTTTTTTTTTTAGTAGTTTTTTCAGTATTGTGTTTGGCTTGGCTCTTGCTGAGGTTCAATTCAGCTATATAATAATAAAGTTTATTTGTATAGCACTCATCAAAACCAGCATTACAAAGTGCTTTACACATAAAACACAATAATAAAATACAGAGTTTATGTTTGGTTTACCAGGCAAGCAGATGGGAAAAAGAGGAGTAAACTTAAGAATAATTGATGATTAAAAACATAATTAAAACACCAAGGAAAGATGTAAAAACAGTGGGTGAGTAATAAGTAAAATAGAGCAGAGGTCAGAGGTGCAATGTCTCAAGTACGGTGCAGTGTAACTCAGTAGTTAAGAATAAAACCTGAAATGTGAAGGCAAAATACAGGAAAGCCTTTCGATAAAGATAAGTCTTTATAAATAATTCAAAAGGAGATACTGATGCAGCGAGCAGGAGTTCCTCAGGCAGGTCTTTCCACAGCTGAAGAGCCCTGAAGGCAAACACTCGGCTCCCTTCAGTCTTGAAGCATGAGGTGGGAACAGTTAGCAGGTTCGTGCCTGAGGATCAGAGGGTAACGTGAAGATAGTTCTGATATATATTCTAGGGCCAGGCCGTGAAGGGCTTTGAAAGTAGTTAAATCAATCCCAAAACAAATGAGCAGCCAGTGTAAAGTCATTAAAATTAGATCAATGTGTTCTCTTTTTCTGTTTAAAGAAGCTTGATTTTGAGCTTCTGTATCTAAAATCTGTTTGTTTCTGACTCCATCTCTTACAGGTCCGTCCTCTGAGGCATGTCTGCTGCCCCGCACCTCTTTACCTCCTGCCACAGCTCTACCGAGGAAAGGCAGCGTGAAATCAGCAGCCACAGGGTTGCAGGTCCCCTCCAAACCTCCCCCCACCTCTCCACTGCGTTTACCTAAAGACTGTCACCGTTCCCTAGGAGACCTTAAGGTTCGTCTTAAAATAGCTGATACAGAAGCAACAAATATCTGAAAATACAAAAGCCAAAGCTGGTTTGTTGTTTGACTTTCGTATTTCATCATCTTGACTGATTCTTCAGGTGACTCGGGGTCTGGTGGCTCGCTTCCTGCAGCGCTCCAAACGCAACCTGTCACCCTCTTCCGAGCATGCTGGGAGCACAGGGCAGGGGCCTAAGAGGAGGAGTGGAGTTGAGGGTGCTGCCACCAACCACCTGCCCTTGGAGCAAGTATGACACCACTTCTGATTTAACGCCACCACGTCAGAATAATTCAGTGCTCCTGCGAGTAAATCCACCTGCTTTTTGTCTTAAATTTGTGCTTGGAAAAACTCCCCTCCAGGTGTTGCTGACCCCGTGGAACGCCAGCCGAGGACACCCCGCCCATCACGCCCATCACCCTCATCGCCGTGGACACCACCACTCCCATAGTGACAGTCGACACAACAGGCACCACGGCGGTCGGGTGCCAGAGGGGATCCACCTGCGCAGTTGTGGGGATTTAAGTTCCTCGTCCTCATTGTCACTACGTCGATTAGTGACACCTCATCCACCACATGGGTCATCAGGCGCTCTCTACTCAGAGTCTGCGCTGTGAGGAGGGGAGGAATAAGGGAGGGATGGAGGAGGTTGACAAGGTTGTGAGGAAGACGGGAATAGGAGGCTGATTAAAAGGAGAGTCTGAGGCAGTGCAGTGGAGATATCTATCGTCCCTCCTTTTCCTCTTTGTCACCTGCGTTTCCTGAAGCCAACTGTGCAAATGGCCTTATTCAGTGGTGCTCTTTATCACTCTGAACATCAGCCCAGAGCTCACGCTACTCCACTCTTCAACATCAGTGAAACAGTCACTAGATGCTTATTTCTGGTGGTTCGAACAGAAGAAGAAAAAAATCGGAGACAAACAACCAGAAGCATCTTTTTCCCTCTCTCAAAACTCATCTGAACACATATCTTCCTCAAGACTGGGGACAGATCTCAACTGGCATTCATGCTACAACAACCACTTACTCACATGTACATTCAGTCTAATTATAATAATGATTATGGGTTGCAATATGCTTCTGGCCCTTTTGTACATTGCTGTTCATCCACAGGATCGCTCAGGTGAAGTGATCACAGAAACCCTTATTTTGTCTTCCATTTATAAAAGAAAAAAGCATCTCAATAAACATAGCTAGCTGAGTCCAATGTAAGATAAACAGATGAGGCTGCACATGGAAAAACCCTTAACTGAGTTGCTGATTTTGTCTTCTTTTTTTTTTTTTTTTTCAATTCAGATGCCCACTTTCTCCACGTTTTTCCACCTCCACACTGGCCTTCAAAAAAGAAAAGGCAGCCAGCATTTTTAACACTGACATTAATGCACGCCACAGACACATGCTCAGCCTTTGAAACGTATTCCCTGTGGGTGGCCCCTGGACACGGTGGTTTGATTTGCATATGTGCATGTTTTGCTACAGCCTTCCGAATACAACAGGAACCTTGTGCATTCAATCCTGACCGTCTGTGTAACTAAATAACATGTCCTCAGAATGTCTTTATCTGCATGTTTTTGACAATGCTTCTTACTTTTTTTCCTCTTGCACCCGAGACCTATGATAGTAGCCATTTGAAATGTGTTTGTGTTTATAGGTAGCTGAAGGGGCAGGTCGAAGACGCGCAGTGCTCCCAAAGTTTTATGCCAGATGGCTCCAAACATGCCTCTGCATCCTAATTTGAGTTTGAGGTTTTGAACATGTTTCAAGTGCACTGGCTTCAGCAGCCAGATCCTGTACGATAAGAGGTGTAAATTGCACTGTGACTCTGATGACGAGAAGAGTCTTTTGCAATAAATGTACAGACAAATTTGTCATGAGGTTGGGCTCCACACAATGTGTTGGAATGGTTCTTTTGCAGGGGGTTGTGGATGGGTGGTAAATAAAAAAAAAAAAAAAAGACTTGATGGATCTGGTAGCTCTGGATACTGGGTTTTGAAGTATATAAATATTTGTGTCAGATTGGAGTTTTATTCTTTGGAAAGTCTTTTTGGTGTGCTCACTAAGTGATGATATTGACTCCATATCAGTAAAGGCACATTTTGGATACAGTCATATGTATGTACCTAATTTTAATGATGTACACGCATACACACTTTGCCTGCACACAAACACAGGCACACCCATACACTCCCTTATTAAGGCACTGAGCTGTATTTCTACCTCCTGTCTTGCATAAAACATTATTTATTTGAAGAAATGTATATCTGTATGGCAGGCTTAACAGAATAGAGCCTTGAAACCTGAATAATAAATGTAACTAAATATGACACCTATTCCAGATTTTAAATGCAGTGTCAATGGCAAAACTTTCAATGCAAGATATGTATTTGAAAATATGAAATAAATGATAGACATCAAATAAAAACACCCATGTTGATGTTTTGTACATATTATAAAGGGGAAAATAATATTCAAGGTTTTTTATTATTATTTATTATTATATTTTTAATTTAATTTAATCTAATTAAATAAAATTTTATTTTATTTATTTTTCAAAATTTTATTATTTCTTTTTCTTAAAGAATAATCTCGCTTCTCTACTTTAAGTAACACAAGGCTCACCACCTGGCAAATCCAATTCTCACTCATCTCCCCACTCCACCTAAACACCACCTCTTCTCAAACCCTATTGGCCAGCCAGTGTGAAAGCCCATCCTGGTTCGATGGCACCGGCCAATCAAATCGCTCAATGTCAAATGGAGCCTTCCGAAGTCCACGCCCATATGCACCACCCGCGATGGCGGTTGGGAAATTCAGTTCTACTGCTTTGTATTAAAACAGACGGCGTCGTGACAGCGAACTACAACCCGCACATCCTGGTTTGAGGAGACGTTCACAGACTTCAGTTTGACAGCAAGACGAATAAACAGAAGATTAACTATTTTGCTGTATCACACCGAACTGTTTGGGATAAGAGGACAGTGTTATTATGGTATGTAAAGGCGTGTGTATGAACAAAAAGATAATTTTATTCGGTTTGATATGGCTAACTTTGTAAACAGGCAGGATGCTGGATGACAATGTAAGCTAACGTCAGCTAACGCTTCTTCTCACGATAAGGAACTAGCTAATCATAGTTATCTTGACCTAATCCCTGCTCTTGTTTACTGCTCTCACTGGGCTAACAGACCATGGAGCTAACTGGCTTAGCAGTTTACCTAAACCGCACAAATGTAACGTTATGTGGTTTATAAAAGTAACGTTAGCTAGGTAATGGTACGGTCCGGCAAGTTTGAGTCCAGCTTGTTAACAGTAGCTGAGGAGGGCATTTGGACGGTTGAGAATGAGACGCCTGCTAAACTTGGTCGTTGATGCCCGTAAAGTAATCCGGACCATGTGGTACGCTGTCTCCCCGCACAAGCTAAAAACTACATATGTCCTGCTGTGCACCTCGTCTTTCCAGGGGGACAGCATTTGCAACGGGACGCAGAGCAGCAAAAAGGCGTTGCTGTCAGATCCTCGGCTGTTTGACGCCCAGTTTGACGAGCTGGTGATGGAGCTCTCAGAGCGGGACCTCACCGATCCAGCGTTGGCTGATGCTCTGAACAGGTTAAAAGAGGTGTGTGTGTGTGTGTGTGTGTATGTGTACTGTGTGTCTACTGAGTTACATCTGACAAGTGCTAAAGTGTTACTTCACGTGGTTCCTCCCATCTGCGTCCTTCTTAGGTGTTGGTGTACAATTCACCTGGAGGTAAGAGGAACCGAGGTCTGTCTGTGATTGGCTCACTGAGGGAGCTTCTGCCACCCACTCAGCTCACACAGGACACCGTGCGGCGGGCTCTGGTGGTTGGATGGTGCATTGAGTTGGTATGGACGTGTGATATGTTAAAAGAAAAAACTGCATTGTTGCACATAAACTAATACAACCACACATCAGTTAGCCACACGTGTCCACTGGGTGACAAGTTTCGTTATTACAGAAGGCACCCTGATAATGTCAGTGCTGGAGGGAGGTTTCATGTCAATTACTTAAATAAAAGTACTAATATCACACTGTAAAAATACTCCATTACAAGTAAAAGTCCACCATTGGAAATGTTACTTGACTAGAAGCATGTTAGTGTAATCAGGAGAATGTACTTAAAGTATTAAAAGGAAAAGTAATGTTCTCAGGAAAAATGTCCCCTTTGATTATTATATTTACAGATATTAAGTCTAGATTATTGTTGCTCTTGCATTAACGTAAAAGCAGAATTTTACTTGAGTTGGTTGAGGTGGAGCTTGTTTTAAACTATAAAAAGATTATTTTCATTACAGGTCAATCTGCTGATTATTTTCTCCATTAGTCAATTAACGGGTTTCTTCTGTAAAAAATAGGGAGAACAGCCTTCAAGGTCAAAGTGACACCTTCACAATGTTTGTCTTGTCCAACCAGTCATCCACACCTCAATATTATTACAGATGCATTAAAATTATTTAAAAAAAAAAAAAAAAAAGCATCAATGGAACCATGAACTGATGTGAACCTGATGACGCTGAACGTGAAACGCGTTGTTCCCTCAAATAAAACAGAGTAAAGTCTATGTCAGTGTGCAGAGGATTTGTTTGTCAACCTGATTACACACGTTCCTGCTGCCTACCAGCACCTGACTACCTGTGGCTGTGCAAGGAGATTTCATTGATTCCAGGAACCATGAAAAGATCAAAATAGCTGCTTATTAATTTTCTGTCAATAAACTAATTGTTACAGCTGATCTTATAAACTAGATAGGTTAATATATAACAAAACATTATATTTTCTAAACTCTCAAAGTGTTTTGTATGTAAAAAAAAACCTGTAAAGCAGATCGTAACTAAAGTTATCAAACATATAGGGAAGTAAAAAGTGCACTGTTTCCCTCTGAGATGTAATGTAGTAGAAGTAGAAAGTGGCATGAAAAGAAAATGCTCAAGTACAAGTAACTCAGATTTGTACTTAAGCACAGTAGTAGTTAATGAACTGAGTCACATTCCACCACTGGATAATGTACACTAAATGCTCACTAGTGCACCAAAGCCATGAATAGTCCCCATCAAATGCCATTTTTTCCTGTATGAGTAATGCCTACCATACACAAGCAGACTTTGAAAATACATTTAAAAGACTCAAGTCAGACTTAAAGCTATAGTGCGTAACTTCTGTCGCCTCCCAGCGGATAATGTGTTATTACAACTAATAAGCCGGCGGCACTTCCATGTACACAGAGTAACACTCGCCAGTCGCCACACACTGTACACAGAGTAACACTTGCCTTTGTGGTAGGATCCACTTCTGAACTGTGTCTCGGCCGCTTCTCTGCCATGTTGCTTTCTCTTTCTACCTGCGCTCTACCTCTTGCTATGACACTCTCCGCTCTTCCTCCCCCTCCCTTCTTGTTGTGAGGAGGCATTTCCTGTGCGCCAGCGCGGGAATGTCGCCGGTCGACACGCATACTAAAAATGATATATATTGAAAAATACCACGAGATGTTAGAGGAGCCGATCGGCTTAATCAGCATTGTGTCATTTCCTCTAGTAGTGGCTTGGGTGAAACGGACATTTACGGACCTGTAGAAGTTACGCACTATAGCTTTAAGTCTCACATCTAAAGGAAATGTGAGTTTTTTGTCTCAGTCTATGAGATTTTGCAAATGCTGGCTCACTATTTGCAAGACTACAACCAGATTCCTTTTGAAATTATTTCCCATCCTGCTCCTGGTGGAGAAACTACACCAAACTCCCTTTAAGAAATATGACATATTAACAATTCCTTACCTGTCCACAAAAACACATAACTCCAGAATCACAAGATAAATGGCGTCATATGTCGACAGTATTCTTGTCAATTTATAATCCATAAAGATAAACTGTGTTTGTGCACTTCCTGTAGTAAGAGGAGACTGTGGGAATGAGAAGGGTACCATTTTAAAAAAAAATGAATATTTCTCACTTAAATAAATGCTGGTTGGTGGATAAGAATCACGTCCAATTAAACACAGACTGTTGTTTACTCCACAGCTTTACCAGTTTTCCTCATTTTCCACAGTACAAAAGAATTGTACTTGAGGGCGGGCTTTAGAAAAGCTTTAGCTGTTACATGCTGCCCAGCGTGTCACTAAAACTCCAGCTAACAAGCACAGACTCAGACTGACTGTTGTAATGACACGTTGCAAGGGTGTTACGTTCTCTCATTAAGTGTCACGACTGCTTCCAGCTTCAGGCCTTTTTCCTCGTGGCAGA